AAGCCCGCGAAAATATAAAATTCGCGGTGGATTATCGCCCGCGAAAATATTAAATTCGCGGCGGATTATAGTCGGTGGAAATATCAAATTCGCGGCGGATTATAGTCCATAGTGATTTGAAATAGTCAGAGTAATTTAGTCCATATTGCCACAACGTTATTAGAAAGAAACAAATATTTAATGGAACGATATCACGAGTATACATGTATTAGTCGTTTTAGTTCACCGGTAATTCATAGATATTCATAATACTCTTTTCAAATTCCGTTTTGATTATTAACTAAAGTGTACCAATGTATTATTGTATTCATATCCTAAAATGTCCGTTATGTTCTATTCATTTATAATGTACATCTACATCGGTATTTAATTCGTGAATCACACCATAAAGCACAGACACATAGCAATTTTCTATGTCATTAGTTGATCCGACAAGCAGACAATGAAACCATGTTTCGTGAATTCTGATAACAATGTCTGAAAATGGACGACAATAAACATATATAGAAGGCAGCGATTTGCACGTGGGTGTTTTAAAATATGCTGTATTTTATATACTGATTGATTATCCGTTTTAATTATGAACAACAGTTTAACGATATTCGTAGAAATAAACGAATTAGCATAAATTGCTAGGAAGGAATATTTTCTCCTTTAACGGTAATTCAATTAAAATGACGATTCGGCTCCCAACGTTCAATATATACATGTACTTTATGTCCCCAAAATTAAAAGTCATATTGGATAGAAGCTGGAAGATTGTTTACTTATTTCAGTTTCGTATTTGACTTTACAGATTCCCCATTCCCCACACTGCAAAACAGATCAACACGTCAAATCGTTTCAGTTACAGGTATAAGGCTTAAAAATATCATGTCTTAAATAGCCCCTTCAAATATTTCTTTTTATACTTTAACTTATAAATGCAACACACAAACTGCTTACCGTATTTATACAGTTGACGATAAATATCCTAAATAATAATCCGGTTCGGTTTCTTTCCAATAATTATCAATGAACATATCGAAGAACCTTTAATAAAACACCTAACAACCAGATCTTATGACTGGGATCTTGTCCGGACAGAACTTAGATTAATAGTAACTGATCAAAGAGTGAACATCAAACAGAACAAAGGAAATTGCCTCACAAAAAAGCATGCGTTAGTTATAAGGGATGATTTGTGTGCCAAATTAAAAATATTATCACCGACAGGGGTTCACTAGTCCGCCGCTATAAGAAATACTATAATGTGGGTATCAATAAACCTAACCCTAACTCAACCCTAATGATAGATATCGGTGGACTAATGAACCCTAACCCAACCCTAACCCTAAATAAAGATATCGGAACCCTAACCTAACCCTAATTCATCGTAGCCTGTTAGTAATTTAGCCGTGACAACCGCACCTATTTAGTGTGAAAATCCAGTTTGTTGGCGCCCCAATTGTAATTATTCTTTATTAATGAAGTCAACTATTTTGGGTAATGATTACTTACTGACAATTCAGAATTAAAGTATTGTCTACAAGACTACGACATGGTAACAATTTGTTGTTAAAGGGGCTTCTATTATAGTCAATTATCAATTCCCTTTGATGACACGTGCGAATTCACATAATTTGGAAACTTGATTGACAGTATGCATTGACTCAGACTCTTTGGTGCCGAAATGAATAGGTCATCATGGTATTATGTACATGTTTGCGTCAAGGTTGACGTTGACTTCTGGCGAGGTGTGCATTTAATTCATTTGTGATTTAAATCCGAAGATATAATACTTCAGGTGTGATTTACCGATTTACAATGCATTGTGAAACTTATTTGTCAGAATGGGAATGGATATTTTAATGGACAAAACCTTTCGCCCACGGTAAGACCAACATCTATGTGTATAAATTTTGAATGTCTTAAAAATGTCGAACATATTGATGAAGTAATGAATCGTACAGCCATAACTCTGTTTATTATATTATATAAAAGCCTGCAAATTTTTGATATTTGTTATATTTTCAATGTAAGACAGCAAAATCTGCGTGTCTAACCGTGTTAAATTAATCTTTTTTTGCATGCCGTATTAGCTGATATTCGACTACGATATGATGACTGCGGTGCAATTGCACTATAAATAAACCTAGCTATTTTAAAACATTTACATGTACGGATGTGCTGACTGTACATGCATGGAAAGTCCGACTTAAAGGGGCACGGTGCGATATAAGGGATGGTTTTTGTGCCAAATTAAAAAAAATATCACCACCGGTTCAACGAATGATTTTAACAGAATATGTCACCTGCGAATATGATGATTAAGTATTCTTTTCACACGGCGCATACGCTAACCTTTAAGTCTGTGCAGATTCAAAAATTGAATTATCTTTTATATCCACATTTTTAAATCCCGAGTTTTATCGTAAATAAAATTAATAGAAAGTATTGTTTACAAGAATACGACATGGTAACAATTTGTTGTTAAAGGGGCTTCTATTTTAGTCAATTATCAATTCCTTTTGATGACACGTGTGAATTCACGTAATTAATTAGGAATCTTGACTGACAGTATGCATTGACCCAGACTCTTTGGTGCCGAAATCAAGGTATTATCCGACTGATACATGTGTTCAGCAAGGTTGACGGTGACTTCTGGCTATGTGTGGTTGAAAACAGGAGATGAAGGCATATATTACTTGTTCGGGTGTGATTTATCAATTTAAAATGCATTGTGTGACATATTTGTCCGAATGGAAATGGCTATTTCGATGGACAAAACTTTCGCTAACGGTAAGACCAGCATCTATGTGTGTAAACTTTGAAATTTTCGTAATTTGAATGAGTTTGAAATAGAAGATCGATGCAAGTCTTAAAAATGTCGAACATATTGATGAAGTAATGTACGGTACAGCCATAATTCTGTTAATTTTATTATTTAAAAGCCTGTTTGATTTTTGTTATCTTTCAATATAAGCCAGTAAAATCTGCGTGTCTAACCGTGTTAAATTAACAATCTTTCTTTTGGCATGCCGATATTCGACTACGATATCACTGCCGTTGAATCGCACGATAAATAAACCCATTTCAAACCAGCTATGGATGTGCCGACTGTACATGCGTGGAAAGTCCGACTTTTTAAAATTTCGCGGTGGGCGGCGGTTTAAAATAATCGCGGAGGTCGGCGGTTTATTTAAATTCGCGGAGGAATTTTAGAGCGGAATTTTGAGCGTGGCCAGAGCGGATTGATTGACTGACGTCCGCGATTTTTCATTTCCGCCCAGGTCGGACCTCGGGGAAATTTAGAACTTCCGCTTGAAGTGTACTGTAGTGCATTTGGATAACCCCGTAATTGGCCGTAATACTTGATATCTCAAACTAATCCCAAACTACAGAAATACAAATGTTGCCAGTCATTTGTTGATATATTAATTATTAGCTATATATAATAATAATAACCATTTCTATACACAAACAACAACTTTTATCGTAACTCCATTTGAAATTCACTGCAAATATAGAATTTTCCGATGACCATGCATAACAATAGATCATCTTATCACAAACGTTTATCCATCGAATAATTTATATTCTATGGTAGAGGGACTCTATCAAAAAGTCACAGTTTTAAAATGGGTGTCGTGAGAAGATAGGGTGGGACATTATAAAACAAATTCTAAAATCAGCGATGTAGCCAGGATTTGCTGAGTGGTGGAAAAAATATCTGCAGAGCGGAGCGAGGAAAAATATGTTTGGAGGGGGTGGGGGGGGCGTGGTCTTTTATTAAAATTCAACCCTTCTGGGTGTATTTTCAGAGCATCTGCTGCCTTTTTCATTTATATATTCAAATTTTTACCAAATTCACTTAATTATCATCAATGATACAGAGACTCAGCCAGGGATCTAAAAACTTTTTGACACCAACCGACCGAGCATAAAATTGCCCCACCCCACTCTGTTTCTCAGTTTTTTGTTGTTTTTTTTCAAATATTGCGTTATTACTTTGAGATTAAAAATTAATGTGATTCTTAAAACGTTTTTTGTGTTTTATTTAAGTACAGCGAATTATGACAACAGGTAGATATTGATAATTAAAACACGTTGATTTATTTGACTCTTGTCTCACGAATTACAACACCATTTACGACATCCAAACCTTTAACATTGGAGTGCCGTAAATTGGTCTGGGTTTTACCATGGCTTTGCCGTTTCCCGTGGTAAATTTCGAGCGCTGAGTTTTTGTACGTACAGAGAGAGGCGAAGGGGTTTAAATACGACTGTGCGGCTTTCTTCGATTTTTTCTTTGTGCTGGGCGGCAAAAAATAGTGACGGGCTCAAGCGCCCGGTGCCGCCCGGCGTGGTTACATCCCTGTAAAATGGATCTTAAATTAAAATATATTACAAAACAAATTGCTTTATTTAATTAGGGGATTAAGGAATCAGTCAGGCGTTAAGGAATACACACGCTGGCTGTATATAAGTAATTAAGGAATAAACATTCTGTATATGCATTCGGTCACTGAGACGTGACTAGCTTCTCATGGAATTAAGAGTGTTTTCTATAGTTGGCAAAGTCGTTTTTAATCAGATTGGTGTGAACTTGCCGTAAAGTGGATATATACTAATGTCCAAAAGAAAGTATACACTGTGCATTTTGTCGTTTTTCCATGGTATACAGTATTTGGGTAGAATGTCAATTTGTTTTACATTTTTAATTTGCTTAGAAATGTTGAGTTTGGACGCAAGAGACAAACTCAGTTATGCTTTATCAAATGTTTTTAATCTAAACAAACCTTATTCATACTTTTAGTGTGTATACTTTCTTTTGGACATCAGTATAGTAACCATTGGTTGTACGTACATAAAAGTTTTCTCACCCATCTTATGTGCACTTGAACAACCACTAGAAATTTGTTCAAGTTGAGTTGTACACCAATAACTGTCGTTATTATCTATGTACAATAGAGTCTATATCATTGGACTATAGAAATATTTAAATAAAGTAATAAATAAATTATTGTATCTTTTATTCAAGCTCACCCTTTATATAGTTTTAATAATAAAATTTGTTTTTTATTCATTTCTGTTTTATACATTTTTACAATTTTGCAATTCTTCTTCTTTTAGCATGGGCAATATCTTAAGAATGTCCATGATACCTTCCTCCACTGATATTGTGGATTGGAATCCTAAGTTTCGTATTTTCTCATAGCTGACTTCGTAGTCTCTTTTGTCTTGGTCTGTTCCAGTTGTATTCGTTGAGATTTTGCAAGACGGGACTTTAGACTGTATTATCTGTGCCACTTGAGCTTTCGTATAGTTCATTTTTTCGTCTCCAACATTATAAGCTTCACCTTTCATTACTTTATAGTTTTCCAATGCAAAGATAAATGCCCTGGCGGCATCTTTCACATGTAAGAATGTGCGACGGAAATGGCCCTCATACAGATCAAAACTTTTATTTGTAAGGGCTTTGTGGGTTAGATCGTTAACCAATAAATCTAGACGGAGACGAGGTGCAATGCCAAACACAGTTGCCAATCTCAAAGCCACACCTCCAGCTTCCAGTACAACCTTTTCTCCCCCTGCTTTACTGCTTCCATATAGAGAGATAGGACTTATTGGTGTGTTTTCCGTGCACATACCATCAATGGCCCCGTAACATGATCCCGTACTGGCGTAAATCAGTTTTTGATCAGAGGTCATCAGTTGTGTTATATTACTAGTACCATCAACATTTGTTTCCATAGCTTTCTGTGGATTTTTATCACATGCAGGGTAACCCACGATCGCCGCTAAATGGATAATACCAATCTTTCCTTTCATCACTGGTTTCAGTTCTTCCGGTTGACATATGTCTCCTGTAACAATGTGAAGCTTGGGATGAGAAGAGATGAATAGTAACGGTTTGATTCCCCAGAGAAATTTGTCAAAAACTGTCACCTCATATCCAGCCGATAATAACATGGGTACAATAGTCGTTCCGATGTATCCAGCTCCGCCTGTTACTAAGACATGACCATTTCCTTCTACTCCAACATTACTTCTGGTGTTCATAATACAAAACTCCATTTTTATCTGATTTCAATCTGTAATTAGAAACCTTTGGATGTAGAAATACATTTATTTAAGATGATATCTATTTATTTGTGACTGTTTAACAGATGAATATGTAGTAGATAGCAACTGCTTTCCAAGTTGTTGTTCGAAGTAAAAATCCTAAGGGTAGAGCCTGCAGGTTATATTTTGAATAACAACCGTTGAACTATGTTGACTTATCCACACAAACTATAATGATTACCCCCTAGTTAAGTAGTTTTAACCACCGCTCACCTAACAGGAAATTGGAATTCAAAGCATGTGGTTATGGGATTATTATTTCTTCAATATCAATCCCTAATGTATTTAGAGAAGGTTGATATCATGAATAGTTGCCTTACATCAAAAGGGGCTAGACGATAAGATCTGGAGGTGTGTTAGATAAACATGTCTATGTGATTAAAATTTGGGCTTATACTGTCATCGGTGGATCACAAAATCAACATTGGCATTTTAAAAGGCTATGACCCTATTCTTTTAAACCTTAAATGGGTCTAAAAGCACATGTTAATATAATATGAATGTATGTAAAGTGTTTTATATTGAATTTTAAAAAGATAATTGTCCCCCACTTTTCAAAGAAAGCAGGGGACTATTAAAATGGATCTGTCCTTCTGTCCCTCACTCTTTTTGGGACACAATAACTGTCCTAATTGAAGTAGAATGTTCAAACTTGGTGTAGGCATTTATTAGGTGAATTCCTTGATGGAGCTCGGCTAAGCAGAGATAAGCAATTTGATTGGTTGATGCTTTGGGGCACAATAATTTTGGTTCTAATTAAGTGAGAGTGATGAAACTTGGTGTATAGTTTCATTATATCAATACCTTGACTAAGTTTGATAATGAGCATTTTCTGCTCAGAATAAGCAGAGCGATGAGCAATTTGATTGGTCGATACTTTGGAGCTCGATGACTTTGTTTCTGATTGAGCGATAAGCAATTTGATTGGTCAAGACTTTGGAACATAACAACTCTGCTTTTCATTGCGGTAGAATGTTTAAACTTTGTGTAGATGTTCATTGGTCGATGCTTTGGGACACAATAACTTTAAAGGCTCAATACCACTCTTGTTGTAACTGAATAATATGTCCCAATCTTTATTCTGGTCAACAAATTGTACTATTTTACAATATTCCAATTAATTGATGATACAAATTTCATCTGAACACACCAAATTTAAAAAAATTGGAAAAATTCAACTAAATGATTTAAAAAGCCTGACGTAAAGCTTTTCAAATGTGACTTGGATTTAAAAATATTTTTGAACCCTTTGGACAAGTAAAATAGGATTTAATGGATAATTTACACAACAGGTAGGACACTAATACATCTAGTACTTAGAATAAGTCTATTTTTTTTTATTTTCTGGAGCTGTGAAGCCAGCAAGAGTGTTATTGTCCCTTTAATTCTTACTAATGGAGAGTGCTGGATTGTGACGGAGTTCGATTGTGAACATTTTCTGCTTAGACTAAGATACTTTTCAACGAGATAAATGTGAAATTAATTAGTATGTATCATTCATCTATTTATTTTGGGATTTCGGCTGGGGACATCAGGCCCACTGTTGGCTTATTTCTAATCAATTATGTTCGGTGAAATATGTGAACAGTTTAAATTGAATGGCAGTAGTTTCTACATGTTTTTTGTTATTATTTTGTTGTTAGTGAATCAACCATTACTAATTACTTCAGCATTGTCTTGTAGGATATGTTTTTATATGCCCACATGGAAATGTGGTGGTATATTGCCGTCGCCCCCGGCCGTCTGTCGGTCCGTCTGTCTGCAGTCCATGCGAAAGCCGTCGGACCGTCGGTCATTACCGATAAAATAGCTCTCGGTCCGGTATTTTCATCATGAATACCGGCCCAGTTGTCAGGAAAGATTCTGGACCCGGTTTACTGACTGCTGGTTGTATTAAATCATCGCCGTATTGGCACTGACTGACAGCACTTCGTGCACGGACTGTTGAATTCTCGTTTAATTTATTGTGTTAATTTCACTATTGTTTAAAATGTAAACAAAATCTTATCTCGAGTACGTACAGTGTAGCAGTCGCTATCGTGTGCAACGATAGTCGCGGGACACGATAGGCCTCGGTGTAATTTTACATGCAAAATTAACGGTTATATTTGTCATAAACAATCGATGTCAAAACGATATACTGCCACGATGTTATGAATGTTGAATATTTTCGTTAATAATACGGACGCGTTAGGTAAAGTTGTATAGTAAGAACACGCGTGTTGACATATTCTGCACGATATATGCGGTTACATTTCCAACCAGTCATGTAAAGCTGCATGTCTACTACATTTTGAAGGACACGTATGCATAAGACTATACATGTTTAGAGTGCATAGTTAAGAATTACTCTCGAATCACGGCAAAGATAGACTTTAAAATTGCAAACTATAACTGTATTTAGGTTACCGGTCTTACAAATAGAAATAAGACAAATAGAACTTGCAACGGGAGTCGAAAGCGCTTTCAAATCAGACATAAGAAGCTCGTACTTACCGCAAAAATGAAATGAACGCGACACAAGTCTCCGATGTCAGAGAATATTAGTAAAGTATAACCACTATCAAATCCACACAAATTTATTTTAGAAAAGAATAACTGTAGGCTCGATAGAAGAGTCTATTCTACATGAACCCCAAATCAATGGTAACTGTCAACTTGTATGTTGTCATTCTCGTGCAGATTTGTTTGAATAACAGAAATGTCCTGTGAATCAAAGATCAAAGAATACAATCGCACGTAGCCACTCTTTGTTGTTTTTATGCGAATTCAATTTATCTAAAAGGGACTCCGGCGCAATTTAAGGAATTATTTTTGACCCAATATTAACCATCGCCAATTTTTTAAATCATGGGATAAAGTCAATTAACAAACAATACGGGTCTACTTTATTACAAAAACATTGGTGAACTTACCATTTTGTCTAAAATCATAACGCTAATCAACAAACAATACTATTATTCTTTATTACAAAAACATCGGTGAACTATATTGTTTTTGTACATATTGTATTTATTTATTTGTTTGTACTATATGTTATACCTGATGAGTCTTAGGCTGAAAGGAATAAAGAATTTGAACTCGAACTAATCGCTGTCGGGATGGCGAACCAAGCTAGTTGATTATTAGGTAAATAAAACAATATAAACAACCAATGAGTAAAACTGATCTATTCTAATCAATTAAATAATATACAAGTCAAGTACCGGTATTACCTTAACCGTGGACGGGTTTGCTTGTGGACGGGTTAACGGACACTCAACTTACAAATATTAAATCATCGCCTTATTGGCACTGACTGACGGCACTTCGTGCACGGACTGTTGAATTCTCGTTTAATTTATTGTGTTAATTTCACTATTGTTTAAAATCTTATCTCGAGAACGTAGTACCGTATATTGAGCTAGTCTAGTAAGTAGTAGGCTAGGTTAATCCAGACTAAAACGAAAGTCCTTTTATTGTGTTAATAACATTGGCTTCTGGTAGACTCGATTGTCATCTAAGGGATTATATTTTCTTTGCGCGGTCTATTTATTGTTATCATTAACACAAAATGACAATTAAGGAAGTGTGCGAAAAAATCTTTATACAATAGATAATCTTTGTAATAAAGTAAAGTATTTTCCCCCTTATATATACTGTTTGTTGTTTTTCGAGTTTTAGGCCATTATTACTTATTTTATGCATATTTTTGGTATGAACTTTTTTGGACCAGTAAAATCTCATTCGGTCCAGTAATAGTTGGAATAATACCTGCCCAAATGTCCAGTAAAAAAAATATCATTTTGCATAGACTGGTCTGTCTGTCAGTCCATCCGTCCATCCATCGTCCACAATTTCTTGTGAACACTCTACAGACTACATTTATCATCTGATTGTTTTGAAATTGATATATGTTTGTTGCATTAGTGGGATGAAGAAGCCTATTTAATTTCAATAACTTCCGTTAATTTCTTCTGGAGTTATGGCCCTTGTTTCACTTTGTTGCACCTTGTGAATGCTCTGACGACAAAAGTTATCAACCGATCTGTATGAAATTTATATGCATGGTCTAAATTAGTAAAATGAACAAGCCTATTGAGTTTCAGCAAATTTCCGTTAATTACATCTAGGGTTATGGCCCTTGTTTCACAATGTTGAATCTGGTGAACACTCGAACGACAAAAGTTGTCATCCCATCTGTATGAAATTCATATGCATCATTTAAATTAGTGAAATGAAGAAGCCTATTGAATGTAAGCAATTTCCATCAATTACTTCTAGAGTTATGGCCCTTGTTTTACTTTGTTGAACCTCGTGAACGTTCGAACGACAAAGGTTATCATCCGATCTGTATGAAATTTATATATGCATTATTTGAATTAGTGAAACGAAAAAGCCTGTCGAATTTCAACAATTTCTGTAGATTACTTCCACTGTTATGGCTCTTATTTTAGTTTTTAGAACCTTGTGAACCCTCAAACGACGAAAATTATAATGTCATATGTATGAAATTGCCTATTAAATGCCCTTAATTACCTACAAAAGAATAAATATGTGACAACCCTTGTCGACCGCTCGGATGATTTAGCTGCTGTGGGCGTATGTTTTGTTGCCTGGCAACCTATCTTTCTATGTTCATTACAAATATTGCCTCAAACCACAGAGTACATGACTCATGTACTGATTTTAAAATGTTCATCGTACTTTTAAATAGATAATAAGGTCCTATATTTTCACTGAAAGATTACATCATTAAAGATACATTATGGGAGATATTTATAGAGAGTTGGCTATTCTTGCTATAACAGTTCAAAAGTAGATGATGAAAGAAGAATATATTGAAAAATTCAGTCAAATTACTTTATTCTGAACATAGTTATTGTTGTAATATTTGCCTAGAAATGGTAGCGAAATGTGTCTTCACCTTCGCCGAACGTTTGATTGACAGGCGTTAACTCCACCTACATATCTTGATTATCAAGTAAAGTTTTCAATGGCATACGGAAACGCTTTACAGCGGCCTCGCCAAGTACACTCTATCATTTAGCCTCGATCTAACTGACGTATTTTCATCAGGTTACCCCTTATCTGATTTAATCAATTAGTGAAATCCTATTTAAATCCGAGCTGTAGCCGAGCCATTCGTGGGTCTACAGAGTTGATTTTGGTCTTGTTGTTTAAATAAAGATCTAATTTATAATTTCTATAACATCTGAAGCCTAAATTAATACTTGCAATAATCAGATTTAGCTCTTGCATAATGCTTGTTTAATATTGATTGATGAAATGGACCAATATAGAAATGTATTTTGTGTTTTTAATTTTGAACATAATGGAAAATATAAAGTTAGAGATTTAGCTGCTTTAAGGGACGTACCTGCCTAAAATATGTACAGATATGGAGCATACATTACTAGAAGGTATTGATTACCGAACATATCACAAATCTTTTATTTCATATTTTAAAATTATTGGGGGGATGGGGGGTTGCTGGGCAAACAGAGGGCAGACCAGATTTAAGGCACTGACGACACTGCTTGTAGCAATGCTTCTGCCTGATATAATGTTTGCTTATTAGTAGCTTAGGTATTTTTATTGAACCATAGATAAACATTTATGTATATCGTATGTAAGGCTGGAAAATAATTTCAATAAATCAATACATCGCAATTTGTAAATTTTGTTGGAAATATTTTGTTTATCATTACAAATACCGCAATAATTCAATATATTATTGCCTTTCCTCCAATAATATTTTCTCAAATATTATTGTATTTTATTGAAACAAAGTATAAATCATAATTCATATTTCAGACTTCCATACTTAACACAGCTGTATTAAAGCATAAAATTTGTGTTTAACTAGAGCTAGACAATAAATTTTATATCACAATATGTAAATTTTATTGACAATAATTTTTTGATACTACAATATTACTTGCCTCTATCTCTCTTGAAAGAAAAATTGTCCTGAAAGTATTTATCGGGTGGTTATTTCTAATAAAAGAATGGCAAATTTGGTATATATGGAAAGTATAGACATCCAATCTTACTAGAAAAATACTGGATTACCCGAAAAACACCCATGGGGCAAGCACTGGGCAAAAATATCATTAACTGGCAACCCGACTGTTCTTTGCCAGCTTAATTAAACAACGTAAAAAGTTGACAGAAAAAAATGAAAAATTGACTTAGGCCTCAATATGTATGCTACATGGAAAGTAAGTAATGAAAAATACAATCTGAAAAATGGACCCTCTCTCAAACAAGTGGTGTGACAATCATGACTTCTAAGTCTATTAACAACAGTTTATTTATAGCTTATGAATGTATCTCCCCGCATATACAGAGTTTTGAGAAGGATTTGAAGTAAAGTTTTGATAGATTAATTAGTTTGAATATGTTTTTTACTCCAAATATATCATTAAATCACACAGTTTGTGTGCGGGAAAGTATCTTTTAACTAATTATATTCTCTGAAGGAATATTGTACTTTATTGAAACATGTTATCTTGACCTTACAATGATTTAAATTTATATGCTTCTCATAAAACTCTATTTGAAGTGTTTGCCACCTCTTTTCAAGCCCTTTGTCTTTAAGCAGTATAATATTGCAATAATGGTAATATATTGTGGATTTTTATATTGTTATCGCAATAATGAAAATTTCAAATATCGTCCAGCCCTAATTTGTATATATAGTCCCTGTGACGTCACCGCGAATCAAGCTGGACGAAGGATGCAATTGAACAACAACTAAACAGCAATATATCGAATAATGTTAATCAGATTGATGTTGAATTACTGTAAGATGTATATAGTAAAAACTAGCGTTAAAGTAGCTAAGTCTCTAACTCAATATCATCAAAAATCTTCGACATTGAAAACACGATTTATTTGTCAGTTCAAATCAACATTGGTCTTGTGATCTTACAGGGAAAAGATGGGCTTCTGATATCCAATATTCAATACAAAATAAACATTTTACCATTGGTACACGAATAGTGTAGCATAATGCGTTTCAGGGCCTTTTGGAACAAGGGACTCAAAGAACGTGGCTAGACATATTCCACAAGTCATGTCAAGCGGTGACACTATATTCTTATCTGGAGAGCATGCACAATAAATATCATCGGTGTAGACTGGAATAACCAGACACTAAATACTGCTATTCATTGAGACTTCTGGCATATTTCGCCGAACATAACTGATTAGAAATTACAGTAAAAACAGAAACGGTTGAATGTAAATCTGTTTAAATACATTCACATTACATTATTATATGTTTTGTGACCCATTTAGCTCCTTTATCTACTGTAAATATAATTTTCTTTGGTCACTTTATGTGCTCTTTAAATTCTAAAGATTACTATAAGGTTGATACACTTGCAGTGAATTAGTTAAACTCTAAATCAAGGAGATTTTTTATATGTATAAGGGGCCCTGTGTTCTAATTTATAAAATCTTTTGAAGATGATATAGGAAGTTAAAAAACTTTGTTAGGTGTATAGTATGAGGAATTTGAATATCAAATCTTTTGAGTTAATAATTTTAAAATCTTTTTGTGGAGTTTGTTGTCACATTTTTACTCTTCAAGCTATGGACAGAATTGAGAATGAATTTTGTTTCAAAATTTGCTTTTTAAAGCTACCACAGAAAAATTTATTTCTGGTGAGGTTATTGAAGGGTGTATATCTGACATGCCCTTATCTATGTTTTTGTTGTTTGGTTTGAAATTTAAAGATACATTATGAAAGAGCGAATTCTACCTATTGCAAGTCTTTATTTGGCTTCAAATGTTATATATAATATAAAATATTATTTAGACATTAATTCACATGACATATAATCAACTCGCTAGATCATCAGATGGCCGAGGTTTACATGGATTATAATACCCAGGAAATTTTGAAATTTAGCGATAAAATGGATAATCGAGACTTAGTCTCTGTTGTCAAGTACCATTGCCATAATAAGCATTATATGACAGTCATAACTTCACTCAAAAAATAGTAATTTGAGTGAATTTGCAATATATTTATTTTTCATTAACTGTTTTTGAACTATTAAACATGCATTATGCAAGAGCTAAATCTGCCTACTGCAGGTCTTCGTTTACCGGTTCGAATCCCCGGTTGTACGTGACAAGGAGTAGGGTCGCCTGTCCAACCTCCTGGGTTTTCTCCGGGTCCTCCGGTTTCCTCCCACTGCTAAAGACCCCTACGCGCAAGCGAATTATTGAAATAAAATTAAACCATATGTTAGTCCCGAAATGACCTAGTTTGTGTCGAGTGGACGTTAAACCCCATTTCTCTCTCTCTCTCTCTCGTTTACCGGTAGGCCTGAAATGTTATATAAACTATTAATTAGACATTTATTAACATGGCAAGACCATAATCAACTCTCGATGCCATTTGATGCTTCTGATTTTCATTACATTTTCATTCCGATCTGCCGTTCAACATCCATTGATGATTAAATGAAAAAATACATAATCAAGACTTTTTTTTAATTTCGTCACAACAGCAACAAAGACATTCGAGGCTACAAGGTTTTAAAATGAGTATTTCTCAGCTTAGACAGAAGTAATTCGACTGAAATTTTCAGAATATTCCCATTACATTATCTATTTTTTTAACTATTATAGTGAGAACTGTCAGCTCTTTATCTATTTTTCCATATTGTATCTTTAAAGCAAGAACAGTTAGCTTTGTATCTAAATCTTACATACACATTTTTAGGTTATTTTCTAAAGATTTATATATTATTCAGTACACATGTATATTATTTAGTAGTGAATATAGTATTATGAAACAATAGGTTTTGTTTAGTTTTATAAAGATATTCTTTATGGTTTGTTTTTTCAAAAGTTTATTTCATTTTCAACATGTATGTTTAATAGTGAATATACAATGCTTCAAACATAAGACAAAGAATGTCACAAAAAACTATTTCAAATATATTTCAGAAATTTAAAAATCATTTTTATTTAATTAATGATTATTTTATTTTTACCACTGAGTTTATCTATAGAGTATTTATATAATTTGCTCGGTGGAAGTTGATTTTGCAATAACGATAAAAATGATCTTTTATTGGTGAGTGGTGACCATAGACAAACTAAACATTTCCTTAATACATGTAGCTCATAAAAGTGCTCTCATTTATCTAAGGTACATTTATTTTATTTATATGTTATTTGAATATAGTGATATAACATCCCTGAGATCTATCATTAAAAATTTACCTTGAGTCAAACTCCAGTATGTTGTATCCAGCTGATAAGCCGTTTTGAATTGATGAAATTTATATCAACCTATTTATATGTCCTCTGGTGAAGTGCAACATTATTTGTTTTGATTTGATTAGTCTTTTTTGTAAAGTGGTATAAGTATTGTTTATTTGTCCTCAAAAATAAACAGGTGCAGTTAAAGATACATAAGTGAAGAGTTTAATTGGAGTTGGCCATTCTTGCTATGATAATTCGAAAATAGACGAGAATTGCTGATCGTTTGATTCTCAATTATAAAAGTAACATTCTCAATGGCTACGGTACCCTCGATTCAGCCATGTATTGATTTAATTATCAAGAAGCTGTCTGATGTTCTACAGGATTTTTTTGAGCTTGTCATGTAAATAAAGGTCTAATTAATAATTTCTATAACATCTGAAGCCTAAAGAAAGATTTGCAATAGACAGACTTAACTCTTAATGTATCTTTAAATTTAAAGGGCATGTCTCAGAGTTTGCAGGGTCTCAAAAAAAAAAACAAAAAAAAATATTTGTTTAAGTTAGGTATGTTAATGTATGCAAGTCTCAAATCAAAATGTGAACAAATAGTCTGTTTATCAAGACCCGAATAACTGCTAATTGTCTTGGTTTAGCCTTAAGTATATCATTATCACATGATATTTTTCAAACATGATATGTACAATACCAATATCTACCCCATACAGATTAAACTTGGATTTCACAATATGACCTAGGTAACAGCATTAGGTTTAGTCATAACAGTTAAATCTTACGAGCACTATTTTTATAAACCTACATTGAAATGTGGTCGTATATTGACCTCGCCACTGTCCGTTTGTTCTTGTGAACACTCTACATATTACATTTATCATCTGAAATTAATATGTTGTTTACATTAGTGAGATGAAGAATCCTATTAAATTTCAATATATTGTTAATATCTTCTGGAGTTATGGCCCTTGTTTTACTTTGTTGCACCTTATGAATACTATAACGTCAAAAGCTAACATCCGATCAGTATGAAATTTACATGCATCATTTAAATTAGTAAAATGAAGCAGCCTATTAAATTTCTGTTAAATATGTCCACAGTTATGACTGTGTTTCACTTTGTTGAATCTTGTGAACATTTTATTATTTCCTTCAACATTGGTCTTTTGCATCGTAACTTTTTACATAGAACACAAACTCAAGCCAGTAGTATGCAAATTAGTTCACACAGCACCATCAGTAGCAGATTATCAGTGAGGCTGCAGCCTCAGGCCCAAAGATTTTGTAAATAATTTTTTTTAGACTTGTCTGATAGGATTAAAAACGCATAGACAATGAATGTTAGGAGGGTGGGGTTTAGGCCCAACGGGAATCAACATAGGCCCTGACCCGAAATTAATTATGCCCACGCCATTTTAAATAGGCCCTATTGTTTGGAGATCTAATCTTATTTTTTAAACGTAGGCCTACAATGTACGTTAAATCCTTGTAAGTTTTCGGTTATGTCTTGCTTTATATATTGTATCTGTGTGACGTCATTTATGGGCATATAAAGTTACATTACGTTTTTAATGTTAGCAACTACCTTGGCTCTAACTTTAAAAAGCTTAATCCGCCACTGAGCACCATTGTTTTTTGCCCAAATCATCCTAGAATGGTTAGCATGTGTGCGCCGCTGCTGTATCATAAGGCCTGTCATTGAGTCAAGTGGCTTGGTTTCGAATCCCTGGTTGTATGTGACAAGAAGTAGGGTCGCCTGTCCAACCTCGTGGGTTTTCTCTGGGTCCTCCGGTTTCCTCCCACTGTTAAAGACCCCTACGCGCAAGCGAATTATTGAAATAAAATTAGATCATACGTTAGTCCCAAAATGACCCAGTCTGTGTCGAGTGGACGTTAAACCCAATCTCTCTCTCTATCATCCTAGAATAGATATTTCTGTAGCATTGTGTGATGTCCTATCTGTTACAACCCTAGCACTGTAGTAGCAGTGAAAGTTATATAGACTTGAAATTTATATCAGTGTTTACTGTTCATGATTTTCAACAATTTCTGATAAAAACCGTCACATATATTGCTCTAGATTACCTGCAGTTATTATCAACGAAGGGTTAGTCAAGAGACATCTTAGTGATCTATTCTAAGTAGATCAGAGATACTTAAACAGTTTATACTACTTGAACTGTACATGATACAAGAACTCCTCAAACTTCATTATACACAAACATAATAAGTCCCCAAAATATTACTTCTCCCAAAAATTGAATATCTGTCTGTTGGAAAACACTTGATTGATTTGTTTTAGTATTATATTAGATATAAATATATAAAAAGACTTACATGAGATTATCTGTAATATAAAGATTATGTGTAACTGTCACATGTATTTATATTGCAGTTATCAGATATATTTATAGAACTTGATCCTTATAGTTTGTCAGATAAACCAGATAAAAATATCGGCAAAGGTGAGTTGTCTAAAATATCCGAAAAGCTTTGATTTTTTTGCTATGGTTGAAATACCAGACAGAAATAGCTGAAATCAATTATTGGATGAAATCAATTATTGGAATATATCGTATGAAAGAATACATATCCGACTCCATGGAAGAAATAGTATTTATTAATTGACTGTATCTTACATAAATATTCTGCTACACATAATGGTTTCGATTCCCGACTTATATTTGGCAGGGAATAGGGTTGCCTATCCAACTTTGTGGGTTTTCTTTTTGTCCTCAAGTTTCCTCCCATTGCTTAAGTCCTGATATAACCTAGTTTGTGTCAATGGACCTTAACCCCACCCCCTCCCCCCTCTCTCTAAATGCATTATTGTGCCCCAATGTTGGAGAAGTATTGGATTAAAAAAATGTCTTATCCTGTGAAAAAAAAAAGCTTTAGCACTTTGTAGATGATAAAGAAGAACCAAAGTTCAATTTTGTGATAAGACATTGTGCAATTACAAATTTTGAAAGAAGTTTTATGACACATCGTAGTAATTTTAACATTTTACAACTCGTTTTCAAAATGTTGAAAAAACATTCACTCAAAATAGCTTTTCTAAGTAGTTCAGTTCCGTCTAAGATTTAGGGATTCTAAGGTTATTGTGGATTTTGTAAGAATGATAATTTTCTTTAATTGTCTTTCTTTATTTGTATTTCTTGAATGATTTTTGTAGGAAAGGTTTTAAAAACACCCGCAGAATTGAAAGATGATGATGATACAAACAGAAAGAGAAAGCGTAAACCAGTTCCAGAAAAACCAAAAGTACCGTTATCTGTTTTTATTCAAAAATCATGTAAGTTTGTTATATATAACTGTCTGTATTTGTCCAGTTGGTGCTGAAGAGTCGTAAATTAAACGCCATTTCTTTTTGTTTTTATTCCAATAGGATCTGACAAGGACACCTGTCTAGTCGTTTGGATGGGATGAAAAATCAAGGTCCCATGTACACATTCGCGTGCATGTAAATGCAGTTGAAATTTTACCCGCTGTCTGTGGAAAATTTCCGTCATAGCACACTGTATGGCATATGCCCATCTTCATTAGCCCAGTTGGAGCAGAACAAAATGTTAAACCCCATTTCGTTTCATTTCATATTGTAATTGAATGAAACCAAGGCCATATTTCGTATTTTATAGTTTAACTTTCTTTTTTATACATCAATATTTTATGTGAAAGTATATTGTCATTATCCATGTTCATCTGTCCTGTCACCTACAATTCTGGGACAATGTTTTGGGGTGGAAGGTGTGATTCATCAATGAGTCTTAAACAGAAACCCTATTTGAAATTGTACAATGATTTTACCCTCACTTTTCGAACTTGTTGGGATTGTTCAGCTTGTCCTAAAATAGAACCCAATTGAAATATATTTTTTAGAGTTACTGCCCTTGTCATGTATTGTACATTTTATAAAGTCAGAGGTTTGGGGATATTGTTTTCAAACTTGCTAGGATTGTTTAGCTTGTCCTAAGGAGTCATGCAGAGAGATATTGCCACTGTTGATGAAACCTGGTAAATGGTATAAATGTTAAGATTTCTTCTTCAAATTTATTGAATTTGTTTGGCTGGTTCTAATAGTAAGTGCATAACCTAGGGTCAGGACATAATATACAGACACCACAAACCGTATAGAAGCCTTTAATGTGGTGTACTGTTCAAAGTTTTTGAGATCTTTTAAACTTGTGTAACACTTTGGCCCTTGAGATAATTTTGGGTCTTTATAAAATTGTCTCTTCAATTTTGTCTATAAAGTCAAATCACACGTACTTAATGAACGTGGGTATAGTTATACATAAAAAGCAGTGATATTTTGGTCAAATTATAATCATTGTCAAAATAGTCATCAAATTCTGGTTGTTTATTGACCTATGGTTGTTAGATCAAATAAGGTAATATCTATCTCTGTTAGTGGTGGGAAATAAACAAGTTTATTACGTATTTTCAATGGAAAAGTACCAAGGACCTGCCGAAATGAGACAGGTATAAATTGAAAGGTTAAAGTGAGTTTTAACTAGACTCGCACCAGAGCATTCAGATTTTCCAGCGTGGTTCCCCCTAGTCAGTGATGCAGGACGGAGGGCCTGACAAGGACAGCTGTCTAGTCCTTCGGATGATACAAAAAAACAGAGGTCCCGTGTATACATTGGAATGCATGTAAAAGATCCCTTGGCAGTTGGAATTCAATATAAGAGTAGGCGATAGTGCCACTGCCCGGGCAAAATTTCCCTCATAGCACACTGTATGGCGTATGCCCGTCTTCATTGGCCCAGCATAGGAGTAGAACAGTAGGATGTTAAATCGTTTCATTTCATTCCAAGAAGCCATTATATATTTGAGAACGAGGAACCTGCAAGGTTATTCCAGTTTACCAATAAAACTGAAATTATTATTACTTTAGTATTATTAACGATCACAAGGAAACACAACAAAAAAAGAAGTCCATAGTACTACACTTGTCAGAATTGCTCTGTTTAATGTGTTATTGACTTGCTCATAGATTCTAGCATAGGTAATATTCTTGACCCCAAATCTATGTGTGACTTTTCTGACATTAGGATCTCGGTTTATTATGTTTACTTATGAAGGCTTTATACGGTTATTCACCTGTTCATTCCTCTATTTAAACATGTCCCTACCTCATTTTGAAATTTTATATATTTAAAGAACAATGCAATCTGATTAAAATACAGATCTATATTTCGTTTCGTTTTTTTATACTTTCGATGGCCTATTCTACATGAAGATCTGACAAGTGATAGCGATAGGTCACGTCAGGGGTCAAAAGACCAACTTATAACCTATGACGTCAGACATTTGATTAACCAATCAGCATTGATGTCACTAGTGAATTACCCACAGTTCCGTGAAAAACACGCCTAAAGCTCGTCTTAACAGACCGTTTCATTGGCTTATCCCTGACACCATTCAGAACACATGTTAAATAACAACTCTTCCAGATCCAAGTGTAGTAAAGACAAGTAAAACGAAATTTTGAAAAATAAAAACGAAACGAAATAGTATCTGTGTTTTAACCAGATTGAAGAACAATGTTACTGTCCACAACTTGCTTTTTTATGTAAATACTGGCGCATGATAATTCAATTGTTCTGATTTTTTTTTTTTTAATTAACAGTATATGATTTACAAATAATGAGTAAGCCTATCTCTTAACTGTCACAAAACCATTAATAATTGTTTTGTGTATTTGTATTCCACACAAAACAAAGTTAGGAAGTGATATTGAAATGGGTTCAGTCCGTGTTTCTGTCTTTCCCTCATAGTAGTTGTGCCTTTTGCTTATTAGATATTTCCTTGATGTATTAATTTTACTGTTTCCATGGGAACACTTTTAACTTAGTTTCTGGTACACAGTTATTATTTCAGAGCATATCTACTATTATTTGTTCAAGATATCTTTCTGAAACTTTGTACACTCATCACAACCTATTACCTACCGGTAGTTGTGTCTTTCGGCTATTGCTAATTAGAAATTTCTCAGATTTGATTATTTGTCACATGGAAACAAATACAGTGCTGTACAAATGACTTTTACTGTGGAAATAATACATAGTAATAGTGTCTCTTCTTTCAATCTTTTTGTTCTTATGATCTTTAGGTTTCTCTCATCATGAAAAATATACAAAAACAGTTTTTAACACCCCAACTTTTGAAGCTTTAGAAAATCAGTTTTGGAAAGAATTTGTACGAAGAAAACAGATTTGGACTAAAGAAAAGAAACTTATTGTAAGTCAGACTTGTAATTAACTGAATTTATTTTTTAATCTTCTTAAAATCCATTTAAACTGGGCTACAATTGTTCCCTAAATGTGCCATGTATTTTGGTTTAAAATTTTCCCCTAAATGTACCGAGTATTTTGGTATAAAATTTTCCCTAAAGGTAACATGTATTTTGGTATAAATTTTCATGTGGACGTATATTGTCGTCGCCCCTGTCCGTCCGTCCACAATTGTTTGTGGACTCTCTACAGGTCACAATTCTTATCCGATTTTGACGAAACTTTAAATATAGGTTTATCCCTAAAAGATCTTGGCTGCTTTCGATATTGCAATGTATCGGATCGAAACTTCAGGGATTATGGCCCCTGTTTGTACGAAAAATCACGTTTTTAGCTTGTGGACCCTATAGAGGTCACAATTTTTATCCGATTTTGTTGACACTTCAAATGTAAGTTTATAACCCAAAGATCTCAGTTCCTTTCGATATTCGCACATATCGGACCGTAACTTCCTGAATTATGGCCCTTGATTGTACGAAAAATCGCGTTTTTAGCTTGTGGACCGTATTATTATATCACCGTTACACCCTAAGGACGGCTGAGTTCGAATTTCGTGAAAATCGGCCCTAAATTGACAGACAAAATGGCCACCGTTCGTTCTCAAATAGCGTAAAAATATGGTATATCAAGGTTGTGGACCCTATAGAGGTCACAATTTTTATCCGATTTTGTTGAAACTTGAAATGTAAGTTTATAACCCAAAGATTTCGGTTCCTGTCGATATTCGCGCATATCGGACTGTAACTTCCTGAATTATGGCCCCTGATTGTACAAAAAATTGCTTTCTTTTTAGCTTGTTCTCTATCCATCTCTCGAAAATGTGGGCGTATACTGCCTGACAGCCGCTGGTTAGCTTGTGGACCCAATAGGAGTCATAATTTTTATCTGATTTAAAAAATTGTATTATTATATTACCGTTACACCCTAAGGACAGCTGAATTCGAATTTTGTGAAAATTGGCCCAAAATTGACAGACAAAATGGCCGCCGTTCGTTCTCAACTAGCGTAAAAATATGGTATACCAAGATTGTGGACCCTATAGAGGTCACAATTTTTATCCAATTTTGTTGAAACTTGAAATATAAGTTTATAACCCAAAGTTCTCGGTTCCTTTCGATATTCACGCATATGGGACTATAACTTCCTGAATTATGGCCCCTGATTGTACAAAAAATCGCGTTTTTAGCTTGTGGACCCTATAGAGGTCATAATTTTTATCCGATTTAAAAAACCGTATTATTATATCACCTTTACACCCTAAGGATATTCACAGTTGTGGACCCTATAGAAGTCACAATTTTTATTCGATTTTGTTGAAACTTGAAATGTAAGTTTATAACACAAATATCTCGGTTCCTTTTGATATTTCCACATATCGAATTGTAATTTCCTGAATTATGGCCCTTGATTGTAGGAAAAATCACTTTCTTCTTAGCTTGTTCTCTATCCATCTCTCGAAAATGTGGGCGTATCCTGCCTGCAGCCGCTGGTTATCAGATCTTGTTGAAACTTTAAATGTAAATTTATAACCCAAAGATCTCAGTTCCTTTCGATATTCGTGCATATCGGACCGTAACTTCCTGAATTATGACCCCTGATTGTACGAAAAATCGCCTTTTTAGCTTGTGGACCCTATAGAAGTCATATTGTTTATCCGATTTAAAAAAACGTATTATTATATCACCGTTACACCCTAAGGACGACTGAATTCATATTTCGTGAAAATCGGCCCAAAATTGACAGACAAAATGGCCGCCGTTCGTTCTCAACTAGCTTAAAAATATGGTATATCAAGGTTGTGGACCCTATAGAGGTCACAATTTTTATCCGATTTTGTTGAAACTTGAAATGTAAGTTTATAACCCAAAGATCTCGCTTCCTTTCGATATTCGCGTATAAGGGACCATAACTTCCTGAATTATGGCCCCTGATTGTACGAAAAATCGCGTTTTTAGCTTGTGGACCGTATTATTATATCACCGTTACACCCTAAGGACGGCTGAGTTCGAATTTCGTGAAAATCGGCCCTAAATTGACAGACAAAATGGCCACCGTTCGTTCTCAAATAGCATAAAAATATGGTATATCAAGGTTGTGGACCCTATAGAGGTCACAATTTTTGTCCGATTTTGTTGAAACTTGAAATGTAAGTTTATAACACAAAGATCTCAGTTCCTTTCGATATACGCACATATTGAATTGTAATTTCCTGAATTATGGCCCTTGATAGGTGAAAAAATCACTTTCTTGTTAGTTTGTTCTCTATCCATCTCTCGAAAATGTGGGCGTATCCTGCCTGGCAGCCGCTGGTTTTCTATCACATAACTTGCAAATTGAATTAAGTTTTTATTCATTTGTCCATGATAGACACACGGCACAGTGATCATGTGACAACCATAATTGAAATTGCTTTAAAATAGAATTCCGTACAACTATGCTATATAGCTTTCAATAATAATAACGACAATATTTTAAAAATTAAACCCCTGTCAGCACGTGTATGAAATAAAAAATCATAACGGTAAACGCAATCTGATTAAAACACAGATCCTATTTTGTTTGGTTTTTATAGTTCAAAATTTCGTTTTACTTGTCTTTATTACACTAGGATCTGGAAGAGTTATCATTGACGTGTTCTGAATGGTGTGAGGGATTAGCCAATGAAACGGTCTGTTATGGCGAGCTTTAGGCGTGTTTTGCACAGAATTGTCGATAATCCACTAGTGACATTGATACTGATTGGTTAATCAAATGTCTGATTTCATAGGGCCAAAAGCCGCTCGTAGACCTCTGACGCGACCTATTGCTACAACCGGTCAGATCTTCATGTAGTGTAGGCCATCGAAAGTATAAAAAAAACTAAATATGGATCTGTATTTTAATCAGATTGCGGTAAACGCTACTTAAAACTAAAACTAGCATTGCCGGTTTATTGACATAATTCCAACCGATGTCGCGTGTCATTGGGGGATTCAGCATTGGAGATGTTGTCGGAAAAATATATTATTAATGACTTATTCGGTGTTCTATCCAAGGATTATATTCAACTAAGATTTAAATTTATGATCCAATTATTATTTTTAATATCTACCGGTACCTGGAATTCATACGAAGCGTCGAAGACGTGAGATTCCTGAGCGAGATGCACAAGCCAAGGCGAGGTATGACTGTTATTGTAGGCAACAAGCAAGTTGATTGACTACTTAATCAAAAAGTAATAATTATTATTAACCCGTTAAATTTAGCCGAAAGTTTTACAGTCTGCTTGATTGAAGTTCAAGCCGCTAAAGCCGAATAAAAAAACAGCTACAAATCAGAGGCTGGTTACGCGAGTCAATGTTTGGAAAAACAGCAGCTTCTGTCATGTCGATGACAAGTAAACAATAACCGTCAACTATCGGATACTTGAAGGTTGCGTTTCTATGACAGTTCTATCATTTCCAGAATTGTCGGATGTGGACACTAACAATGCAAGATAACAAGACGAAGGCCTGGCAGACCTGAGTGAAATAGGCAAGCAGGAGTTCTCAAATAAATCAGTTGGCCTCGGGCCTACAGACCGACGTTTGTGTCGAACACTGATTGGGACAGTGAACTTCAGTAGTTGTTATTCGTCACATTTCCCACAAGCGACCTAGTTGAGTTCACAAAGTAAATTAAAGTATGAAATATTTTGTATTGTAGAATTTTTTAGTATTGTGACCGTGAATTCAGTAGTTGTTATCTGTCACATTTCCCACAAGCGACCTAGTTAAGTTCACAATGGGGAGGTGTAATTGTCCTATTTTCGATATAGTCATTTATCGCGATATGGTATTTTCAGACCCAACTACGATATCATGTGGCCAAAATTCGTCGATATAGTGGTTTATCGAATATCGCCAAAAACTTCAAATATCGAAAAAAAATTATCATAAAAATAGATAATAAATACACTATACAGCAGTGGAAATTAGCCGACGGCAATAAGCTATAATAAAACTAATGTTTTGAGTATCGTTAAATGTTGAAAACACTTGCGCAGTGTCCGCAGCCTTTGTTCACTGCATCGTGTTTGCGTTACTTTTACTTTGTTTTTAGTCGACAATAATTTGTAAGTTGTTGCTACATGTAAAGCTTAGGCCTACTAAACACCTGAAATTTCCCACTACCGCGGCTAATTACCAGGCTATAAATAGGTTGTCATATTTTTAAAATAACACGATCTATAAATAGATTACTGTCACTGTTAGGCCAGGAGTACCGCAGCCAATCGAATGCTTGAATGGAAGATAGTCCGGATCATTTAGTATTTGTAAAACTGTTTGAATTTACAATACAAGACTTGTGACCGCATCTACTTACTTCCACTGCATGTGATATTTGAACATTTTCTTACACAAGGTCACAAGCAGACGCTTTTTAAACATCAGCAGTTTTTAACGGTTGTATTTAATTTAATTATGGAAAACTTAGCAGTACAAAAAGCATTGAAACGTTTTTATCCAAAAAGGATTTTGTTTTGTTCATTTTAATAAATCTATATTATAAAAAAAGTAAAGTTTAAAGTGTATGAATTAAGCAATTCTTACCCACAATTCTTACTCACACTGTAGTCAGCTTTAATGCACTTATATTTAATTTATTTAATAGCAAAGTGACATTATTATTAAATATCGCGATATTTAACTATACCGTTGAAAAAAATGCCAATATAGATATCGTCCCTTTTTGCAATATCGTACAGCCCTAAATTGTCCTCACTACAATAGAAAATACTCTTGGATTAACATCCAAATTTATCATTATTTGTCAATGTTGTATAAACTTGCAATATTTCTATTTAAAGGGAACATTCCAGATTTTAACAGTTTTTGAAACAAAAATGTATGTATGAAATTTAAGCGCCAAATTTTAGAGGAATGATGTATTTACCTTCTATCAAAATTGCAGTGCGAAATATTGAGTCCTTTTGACGTCGACGTCAAAACCGCTTATCCGGATACGTAACCCTTTTAAGGGTGCGATATCAATTTTTTTCGTTTAGTGACCTTATATTCTATTGCCGTTCCTTTAGAGATCCATACAGTGTATGACCCACATGCTGTACTTGATAACGAAAGGTACATTTTATCTACACGTTATTTTTATAAGGTAAAAGTCTGGTTTTATCCAGCCACCGTATAATACTGCTTTGGACCCCGGTCTCTGTTTCGATATGAAGACTGACAGGTTTAATTTCTTTGAAAACGTATCATGTATATTGAGTTAGTTGCTTGGTCCAAAGGTAGAGGATTTTAAGGGTTTTTAACACACAATTAAACAGTTTTATTCTCCAAAATATAATTGAGATTGGCCCTTTAAATAAGACCCCAGATGTAGGCTGGTCACCTGGAAGATGAAAATTTAATTATCATTTTTAATAAAATTGTTCACATCGCCCCACTTGGCATGTCATTATATAAACATAAATTGTTTCTATTTCATGTTTCAATGGAATTTGATTGGTCATTTAGATACTGCTTTTGCAATTTTTATAAAATTTCATGAGGTATATTAAATATACTATTAAATATAATATCATTTTTTATATAAAAAATATGAACAGTATATTTTTAATTATTGGTTTTGCTCTGGCTGTTTTAAAACTTGGCTGTTTTTTATTTCTTACATCTCTTTAATGGTAATATTGTGTAACACTCTTTTAATGCAACAGATGTCATTTATATTCGATTTTGCTGGTTTTTTTTCTCTACATAATTGCTTGAAGTGTCACCAAATATGCTGTCCTCGATACGTTCGGTGAGAATTTAGTTTGACTGAACCCCACCCCACCCCTTTTGAAAAATCATGTATCCACCGTTGTAAACAATCCCATAGCCAGAGTTGGTGGAGGTGGAGCCATTAGTAACAAACAAGGAATACCGCTGGCTTTTTTCCGTATGTCATTATCAAGGTTGTAAACTCTTGGTCGTTCCTTCAGGAACATGCATCCATTACGGCCCCAAAATGTCTTACACTTTGTTTTGTTTTGTTTTGGTTTTTATGGGGGTGGGGGTGGGGGTGGGGAGTAAATCAAAAATATATATAATTATAGGCAGACAGCGTAAGTTCAGTATGCAAAGAGTGTGTGTGAATTATAGAAAAAGGGAGATGTATGGTGTTAAAAAAAGGAAGCTTCGTGGGTAAGATGCTGGCTCGCTAACAAGGAGTTCTCGTGTTCACTTGCGTTGTTGGCCGAGAAGGTTCATCTGGATTTTCCTTTCTGGTTGGTTACCCTTTGTCAGTGGTGCAAAACAGGAGGTGCGAAAAACCGAGGTCTCGTGGACCTAAAAGAACCCCTTACTACAATCGGAATTCGAAATAAGAGTAGTCCGTAGTGCTGCTGTTCTTGATAAAATACTCTGATGGCAAACTGTATTAGCCCAGCAGTAGCAGATAAGGACGTTAAACCTCATTTCATTTCATTTCATTTCAAAATAAATTTTGTTTCATACTTATTTGGTTCATAACTGCATAACTCAATGCATCATAATGGAATATCCATAGACTTAATCCTTTCTTCAAGTACCCACCTGAGATGACAAATATTTGGGGTGACTTAGTCAAAGGTTAAGTACAAGTCAACGATCCAGAATATCACATTTTATGGTATTCTCGAACAATGATTAACTTAATGATTATTAGGCTAATCAAAGTTTATAAAAATCTTAGTTTAAAATTTAGTCAGCTTTCCAGAATATGGCCGGTCAGAAAATCGTATATTAAATCTCTACTTTCGAAAATATTCTCCTTAGTAAGCTAGCTGAATTACTTCTTATTAACAAGTAATAACCTGTTGTAATTGATCAGAAAGTAGATACAGCCTCACTCATAGGTACCGACTGATTGATAAATAATATTTATTAACCTCGGCACTCTATAAACAAAGCCTCAAAAGGATACAGAATAGTCTGATGTGATACAATAATATTAAAATAGACAGTACAGTAAAATCATTTTAGTAAGGGAGCTAGGTTCAGGTTGTTTCGAAAATTGCATCCAAAATTTATACTATGCTAGATGAGTGGACAGCGGTGACTGATACTCTGAACCTTGATTCTTAAGTTGCGGGTCCCCTTCCCATGTTAGTGTTGTGTTCTAGGGGACCAATAGTGAAACTTTTCTTGAAAAAATGAATGTTGTACGCGGAAGTCGAATTAACTCATCTTTCAGGGGGATAAAGTAGGTGTTCTTAAGGAAGGAAGGAAGGGTATGCACGAAGTTGATCGTTGTATGCAATGTCGAATTAAATCATCATTTTGGTCATTTCACCCATGGGCCCCCAGTTTTGTCGTTCTTATCCGGGATAGAAGGGGCTACTGAAAGGAACATGTGTAGTAAATTCTTTGGAAATATAGCTGACATGTTAAATAGTCAAACCCTTTTTGTATTTGAAAATCCAAAGGCACACTTTCAAATATTTATGGCATAACTAATCAATTAAAGACTTAGGTATGGGGGGCATTTTTAAATAAACCTGCATGCAACTGGTCAATACGTGATGTCAAAATATGTGATCTGTCAAAGTACCGGTAAGATGGAGAAATGAAATACCAAGAATGAATGGAGTTTGTGCTGACCGTTAATTTAAAAGCTATAATACTAGTAATTTAGACCTGTGACACAAAGTCATCCTGTATAAAAATTTATCATATGTGAATAAATTTTTTAACGTAACCAATATTTCAATTTGCGTAACCAGGAAATCGGTCACATGATTTTGAGTTGGCGCGACTGCACGTAACCGATTGGTATCGTTCGCATGAAATTTCATGACCCTGTATTGTCAATATCCAATCAAATGGCCAGTTACAAAGTTAGAGTGTACTGGCCAATCAGAAGCCATTTCTTAAAAGTCCTGACAGAAGCGGCTATTCAAATTTGTTCACACAACCTCTGCATTTAATTGCGAAATGTGGTCAAATGGTATTAACCCAATACTAAACGAAGGCCTGGAAGTAATTGCTGTCTTTAAGGGAGAGCCAATATTTGATACCAATAGTGAATAGATGCTTATGTGGAACACATAACATTAGTGTGTATTTCCTGTATCGTTCATTATCTCATTGGCAATAAATCCCACCAATGACTGAAATTATTGATTTGGGTATTGTTATAGAAAGGTCTTAATAATTAATCAAATTATGGGGGTATAGATTTGAAATTATTAGTCTCTTCGTTCAGTTGAGAAAGAGGACGCGTCATTAGAAACTAACAGTAGAAAGAAAAAAAGAAGTACAATGTATGTAAGTATTTACATTATGTCTTGTATAGGCGTTAGCTCCTCCCTGTCTCACTCCTTGTTAAGTGCTCTCTCTCTCTCTCTCTCTCTCTCTCCCCCCACCCTATTAAAGATACATTATGGGAGATTAGATAAAGAGCTGGTAGGTCTCACTATAATAGTTAAAAACTAGATAATGTAAAGGGAATTTGCTGAGAATTTCAGTCAAATTGATCCACCATGAACCAAGTATTTAGCGATTGAATTTTGGGCATAGTCTCGATCATCATTACTGAAGTCAGTCGGTACGATAAAAAACAGTCTCGATTATCCATTTTTTGATTTAATCAGAAGCAGCAGACAGGGTTCTAATCCAGTAAATATCACAGGCTAGCGATGCCATCAAGAGTGGATTATGAGCTGGATAAGTTAATTAATGTCTAATAAATAATTTAGATAACATTTCAGGCCTAAAGAAAAACCTGCAATTGGCAGATTTAGCTCTTGCATAATGTATGTTTAAGTGTTGAGTGGATATCAGATTGTTCCTCTCTATTGTCCCCTTTCTTCCCACTCCCACAAGACTGAAGTATAGGACATAGTACTCAGTTTAGAAATGTGAGAAAGGAAGATATTTTAAATGTCCAACAGTTGACAACAATAATTTCAAATTTCAAACACACCTAAGCAAAAACTTATTTGGCTATGTGTTAAATTAACACAACAATATGTTACCAACCCATGTAGTTTGATTCTGTCTACGACCACGTTGAATCATGCTGGTGGAATTTTCCATACACAATTTCAATTATTATTTCAGAATTTGATATTTTAAATTACTTTTTTATTTCAAGATAAAAAGAAATTATCTTCTATAAAAATAACAAGGGCTTCTTTTACTACACAAGTTTCTCTAAAATTAAGGTCTGTATTGTTGTTAAAATATCTGAGATCATATCCTGTATTATTACTCTATATTGAGGTAGTTACTCAACATTTCCTGCAACACCATTCCTTGCTTCCTTCCACCGCTGAATTATTGATGTAAAATATATTTCAGATCTTTACCAGAACACCAGCTTGACACGACAATTATGGATAATCTTCAAATTAAATATGAAATAGTTGAGAATGGAACAAAGCGGGGTAAAGCAAAATTAGTAACTTCTGATGGATTTTCTTTCACAATAAAGGTGAGTTTCCTTTAACTGCTTGAGGAAATATCATTTAACTGTTATACTGTTTGAATGGCATTTAGTAATTGAACACATTAAAATAAACACAACAGTTCTATGGATAACAATTTCTATATTTCTATAAAGCTACGTTTTAACAAGGCTGAGGCTATTTGCCACATGTGGTAAGACAATCCGGAGACTATTTGCCACATGTGGCAAGTCCCCGTACCGCAATTATCAACCGATTCCCATGAAACTTACAGAATATGATACCTTTAATAATATCTCAGAGTACGCAAAGTTTCGGCCACTTCCGTTTAGTGGTTTCCGAGATATCAGGTTACCTCACATTTCATGTGGCACGACTACAGACCACAATTATCAACCGATTTCAATGAAACTTGCAGATTATAATTACTTTAATAATATCTCAGAGTAGGCAAAATTTCGGCCACTTCCGGTTAGCGGTTTCCGAGATATCAGGTTACCACACATTTCATGTGGCACAGCTACAGACCACAATTATCAACCGATTTCCATGAAACTTACAGAATATGACAACATTCATAATATCTAAGAGTAGCCAAAATATCGGCCACTTCCGGTTAGCAGTTTCCGAGATATCAGGTTACCACACATTTCATGTGGCACGGCTACAGACCACAATTATCAACCGATTTCAATGAGACTTGCAGATTATTATTGCTTTCATAATATCTCAGAGTAGCCAAAATTTCGCCCACTTGCGGTTAGCGGTTTCCGAGATATCAGGTTACCACACATTTCATGTAGCACGGCTACAGACCACAATTATAAACCGATATCCATGAAACTTACAGAATATGACAACATTAATAATATCTCAGAGTAGGCAAAATTTCGAAAACTTCCGGTTAGCGGTTTCCGAGATATCAGGTTACCACACATTTCATGTGGCACGGCTACAGAACACAATTATCAACCGATTTGGATGAAACTAGCAGATTATAATTACATTAATAATATCTCAAAGTAGGCAAAATTTCGAAAACTTCCGGTTAGCGGTTTCGGAGATATCAGGTTACCACGCATTTCATGTGGCACGGCTACAGACCACAATTATCAACCGATTTCCATGAAACTTGCAGATTATAATTACATTAATAATATCTCAGAGTAGCCAAATTTCGACCACTTCCGGTTAGCGGTTTCCGAGATATCAGGTTACCACACATTTCATGTGGCACGACTACAGACCACAATTATCAACCAATTTCAATGAAACTAGCAAATTATAATTACTTTAATAATATCTCAGAGTAGCCAAAATTTCGGCCACTTCTGATTAGCGGTTTCCGAGATATCAGGTTACCACACATTTCATGTGGCACGGCTACAGACCACAATTATCAACTGATCTCCATTCTGTAAGTTTCATGGGCATCAGTTGATAATTGTGGTCTGTAGCCGTGCCACATGAAATGTGTGGTAACCTGATATCGCGGAAACCGCTTACCGGAAGTGGCCGAAATTTTGGCTACTCTGAGATATTATTAATATTGTCATATTCTGTAAGTTTCATTGAAATGGGTTGATAATTGTGGTCTGTAGCCGTGCCACATGAAATGTGTGGTAACCCGATATCTCAGAAACCGCTAACCGGAAGTGGCCGAAATTTTGGCTACTCTGAGATATTATAAATGTTGTCATATTCTGTAAGTTTCATGGAAATCGGTTGATAATTGTGGTCTGTAGCCGTGCCACATGAAATGCGTGGTAACCTGATATCTCCGAAACCGCTAACCGGAAGTTTTCGAAATTTTGCCTACTCTGAGATATTATTAATGTTATCATATTCTGTAAGTTTCATGGACATCAGTTGATAATTGTGGTCTGTAGCCGTGCCACATGAAATGTGTGGTAACCTGATATCTCGGAAACAGCTTACCGGAATTGGCCGGAATTTTGGCTACTCTGAGATATTATTAATATTGTCATATTCTGTAAGTTTCATTGAAATGGGTTGATAATTGTGGTCTAGCCGTGCCACATGAAATGTGTGGTAACCTGACATCTCGGAAACCGCTAACCAGAAGTGGTCGAAATTTTGCCTACTCTGAGATATAATTAATGTTATCATATTCTGTAAGTTTCATGGAAATCGGTTGATAATTGTGGTCTGTAGCCGTGCCACATGAAATGTGTGGTAACCTGATATCTCGGAAACCGCTTACCGGAATTGGCCGGAATTTTGGCTACTCTGAGATATTAATGTTATCATAATCTGTTAGTGTCATGGATATCGATTCATAATTGTGGTCTGTAGCCGTGCCACATGAAATGTGTGGTAACCCCCATATCTCGGAAACCGCAAACCGGAAGTGGCCGAAAGTTTTGTCACTCAGAGATGTTATCAATGTTATCATAATCTGTAAGTTTCATGTGGTAAGCAAGAATTTCAATATAGCCTTACGACTACATTGAAATTCTTGCTTACCACATGTGGCAAATAGCCACTGCCTTTTAACAATGGTGCTTGATAACGACAAGAGAATCATTGTTGAAACGTAGCTTTATAGAAATATAGTAATTGTTATCCATAGAACTGTTGTGTTTATCATTTAACTGCTTGAGTAAATATCATTTAAACATACACTATGTAAGAGCTAAATCTGCCTATTGCAGGTCTTTCTTTAGGGCTGAAATGTTATAGAAACTATTAATTAGACATTTATTAACAAAACAAGACCATAATCGACTCTCGATGGCATCGGATACTCAAGATTTTAACTAGATTAAAACGGTTTGCCATTTAAAAATTAAATTTAAAAATGGGAAAGCGAGGCTTAGTCCCGATTATACCAGTCCCCTGGTTATCACATCACTTATCTTGTCAAAACTACAAACAATGATAACTTGGCTCAGAATGAAGTAATTTGAATGAAATTTTCAATATTTTCTTTTTTCATCATCTATTTTTGAATTATAATAGCAAGAATTACCAACTCTTTATCAAACTCTTAACTAATGTATCTTTAATTAACTAGTTACTGATCACAAACAGTCATTGTTATTTGTAGTTTAGAGCAGAGTCGAAAAAAGCTCCCCTTATTCAACAAATTGAAAAAATCGCTCCCCTAAAAAGCTCTGCCAGTTTATATAAGAAGAGTGATTTAGAAATTAAGGAGAGCGATCTGATATGAAGGAAAGTGATTAGTTGTGTGTAAGGGAAATGGTTCTGAAGATCAATAATTCCATGTCAGGGGGTCATTCCTGGTTTCATAAATGATAATGCCCCCACCCCCCACACCACACACGCACACATGACTTTGTAAAGGAGAGCGGTTTTCAATTTTAAGGGGCGGGAGAAATGCCTGCATTCGGTCGACATTCAGTTGCGTGGCAGGTGATCGAGAGCGATCGCTCACCTTAATAAACAACGACAGCAGAAAACAACAATTGTCACTCCGTTTTAACACCGTTATTTCTGTATTTCAGAGATCGTCACCTGTCTCTACGTATTGGGTTTGTTCCAGAAAGAGTAAAAGTATTCCGTGTTCGGCCACAGTGACACAACGTGGGACTGATTTCAATCCAAATGATAACCATATTCATGACTGTGACCCCGGCATTATGAAAAATACTAAACTTACGGCAAAGGTATGTGTGTTAACAATTGAATATGTGTGGAATAGATAGGGTGTGTGGAAAAAATATGATGTAACATAATATAATTACTATTTTAATTGATATAATTACTATTTTAATTGATATAATTACTATTTTAATTGATATAATTACTATTTTAATTGATATAATTACTATTTTAATTGATATGATTAATATTTTAATTGATATAATTAATATTTTAATTGATATAATTAATATTTTAATTGATATAATTAATATTTTAGATCAAATCTGCTGCACTTGACCAACTCTTTAGACCTGCTCTGCAAATTGCTAAAATGGAAATTAAAGAATCCCACCAACGGACTGATGTGCGAGTACCCAATCCCATGTTGTTAAAAAGAGTGGTGAATAGATACAGAGAAAAACATCGCCCCACAGAACCATCCCCCACATATTATGTTTGAGGTAATTATATTTCTTTTATGTTTTTTTAATGTACATGTATATACTATTATGTTTGAGGTAATTATATTTATTTTATGTTTTATAAAAAATATACTATTATGTTTGAGGTAATTATATTTGTACTATTTTATAATATACATACTATTTTATAGTTGTAATTTATACTATTTAATGTTTCAGGTTAACACAGAATTTCTGATTACTGAGGTGACATTCTTTAATATGGCATTAATGTATTTCAGGATGGCAAAGACGTCTGAATTCGAGGTCTATGGGAGCTGGTATCAGTTTTTACACATTGATTTCAATATTAAAAGAAGAAATGGCAGATAGTTGAAGAGGGGTTCAATTTCCAAAATTGTAGAAAAACATACTGTAAAATAAATGAAAAGATATTTAATGCATGGGAAAGATATTCGAAGGGATCCATAACATCAAGTGTCTTTCTTAAGTTGGCAGGAAATTTATATGGACGCAGATGAAAGATAAACTATAACACATACTTATGGAAGAAAAGTTACTGAAGAGTACTCTCTCAAGTGCATTGACATATTTTTATTGTTATTAATGTATAAATAAAATATTAAAAATACCTGTAATACTTGTTTTTTAATTTGTCGGATGGAACGACCTGAAAGTGGGATGAAACGACCCATGTAAATTTGGAATGAAACAGCCCGAGATGAACCGGTAGTGTGATGCAATGACCTGCTCCCAGACAAATTGTCCTATTTCCCGGATATGAATATGGCGGCAAATCAAATTATCGAGATGACATCCATGTGATTAAGAGCCTTGACAACGTAAAGAATCCATGGAAATGGAGTTGGTTAGAGAGGGAGGTGGGTGGGAAAGCGTGCACTTTTTCGTTAGAAAATTATGTCAACCGAAACAAGGCTACTGCCGGTATGTTGTAAGGAAATTTACCATGGAAGTCGGGGGGTGGAAGTTCCAACAGTGTGTGTGAAACTGTGAATTAGTTATTAAAATTGTGGTGTGTGAATTGAATATACGTCTTTATTGGGACCGTCCTGACAACTATTATTACGTCGTTATACGTATGTCCCAATAGTTCATTAATACATAGGTGTGTAAAATGAAATAGAAGTAATTATCAGGACATTCCAGAGGTTCATTAAATCCTGGTTGTGTAATGTGTTTATAATAATTGTAACAATACGTCTTTAAACTAGATTTATCATACAAGGTCCCAACAAAGTGTCCCAACAATCTCATTTGCTACTGTTTAATATTAAAGATATATTATGTCATATTTTTCATTACTAGTTGATGCCATGCCCAATTTTTGTGTTTATTGTCTACAGGCTGCAATTTTGAATGGATCATCTTGGAACTTTGCATATTTCGTCGGTGAAGTGTCCAAAGTACTCCAAAGGGTGTATCTAAGAATTTCTAAAGATTAAGAAATAGAACTCTTTGCATTTCAAAATTTCCACAAATCAAGATACAACATTTGGACACATGATCCCAGAACAGTTCTAATTGGCGTAGAGATGAACAGCTTAGATAGAAATGTGCATATTAATTGGGAGAGTTTAAAAATGCAAAAAAGTGTATTTGACTATTTTCCCGAGATACACCCTTTTGACACTTCACCGACGATTTATTCCTTATACCATAAAGACAGCAATTATTTATTTTGGTGCATGCCCCGACCCCCAGGAATGTGGACGTATATTGAAACAATACCGATGCTCTTGTATTTTACAGAAATCAGTAAACTCCAAACAGTTAGAAGAATTTGAAGATAGGGAAATTGAAATCCCAGATGGTAAATATATTTATATCAGTGTGCATGGGTGACAGTTTACTGTTTATATCAGTATGCATGATTGACAGTTTACTATCAATCTGATTTCGTTTCATTTTTTATAGTTTTACTGTATTTACTACACTAGGATATGGAAGAGTTGTTATATAACCCGCATTCTGATTGATGTTAGGGATTAGCCAATGAAACGGTCTGTTACGGCGAGTGTTTAGTGTGCAGTAGACAGAACTTTGGGTATCCCAGTAGGAACATCAACGCTGATAAATAGTGATTAAGAAATTAAAAGCCTGACATCATAGGGTCAAAAGCCAGTTGTATGACCCCTGACACGACCTCCCACTACGTACAACTGGTCAAATCTTCATGCAGTAAATGCTATCAAAAGTATAGAAATCAAAACGAAATATAGATCTGTATTTTAATCAGATTGGTTTATTATTTTAATCCTTGAGTGGCGTTTAGCAATTGAGCACATTAAAGGGACAATTGACAGCCCCAGAAAATAAATAATAGCCTTATTCTAAGTACTAGATGTTTAAGTGTTCTACCTGTTGTGTAAATTATCCATTACATCCTATTTCACTTGTCCAGAGGGTTCGAAAATATTTTTAAATCCAAGTCACAGTTGAAAAGGTTTACGTTAGGCTTTTCAAATCATTTAGTTGAACTTTCCAATTTTTTAAATTAGGTGTGTTAAGATGAAATTTGTATCATCAATTAATTGGAATATTGTAAAATAGTACAATTTGTTGACCAGAATAAAGATTGGGACATATCATTTAGTTACAACAAGAGTGGTATTGAGCCTTTAAAAAAAAAAAACACAACACAATTTAAATGAAAACAACAATCACTGGTTTGTACACATATAGCATGACATTTCGATTAGTATCCTCTTGTCGTTATCAAGTACAAGTGATTATTAGTAAACTAAAAGGTAATATTTATATGTTAAAACAAAAAGGAAGCCATAAGACCTTTTTAGTTAAGCTGAAATCCATAGTGCACAATGTTGTGTTTTTTTGGTTTACTATTTATATATGTGTACATGAGTTTACTGTTTATATCAGTGTGCATGGGTGAGAGTTTACTGTTTATACAGTGTAAACAGTGGTCATGGGTCAGAGGTTAAGTTTATTTTGATGGAGGGCCTTTCAAGGAAAAGTGTCTAGTTGTTTAGATGGGTTGAAAGACAGAAATCACATGTACACCATTGGCCGTATGTCTTAAGATAGTTTTAAAGCAAAATAAGAGTAGGCTTAATCCCTGCATTCTGGGCAGAGTTTCCCTAATAGCACACCGACCGTATGGTGTATACCTGTCTTTATTGGTGCAGAAAAGTTAAACTTTAAATCACAGTTTACTTTGAAATTATACTGACAGACTGACAGTTGTTTTATTTACTTTTGGTGCTTCTCTCTCAACAATTATTACAGAGAAACCATCAAGGTTTCTAATACTTGCTTCAAAATGTATCATTGTACAAAAATGTTGCTTTGCTATGGTTTTTGAAGTTAATGGAGGGATATTAAAATGCCTATCTTCCGTCCCTGTTTTGTTTCAAAAGTATATTTCGTAAGATATCTTTATAAAACTTTTTACACTCACACATCAATTTGTTATAGTAGTTTGCTAATTACAAAATTCTTGGATTTAATCATTTTGTGTTTAAAAGGGAAAAAAATGTGACTTTTTTTTTTGGTATACAAGGGTATAGGATGTTGATGTCTGAATCTTCTGGTTAATATTTTGTTACAGCTGATGAGTTTGGAGGGGGAGAAGATGATGTTGATGATGATGTTGTTGATAATGGGTTAGAAGCAGCACCAGCGTTTGATATATCTGTTGGTCATGAGCGTGACATGATTCGTAAGTTTCTGTATTTTTGATTTTATGACTACCTGTTCTCAAGTATTACAGACCCCATTGTTAAACCCCATTTCATTTCATATTAACCAGCATGGCTTCACTTTGTAAGTTGTGCAAGGAACAGTGTATACATTGTCATGCACGTAAAAGACCCCTTGACAGTAAGAATTTGAAAGTATATACATGTAGTTTGTCTTGGTTTTTGTTTACAGTTTTATTTATGTGTATTTCCTTTACAGATAATTTTACTTTTAATAGAGATGAACTTACAAGTTATGAAGAATTAGCAAGACAACATATAGTAAGTTTTTATCTTTAATAAAATCCATTATAAGGGGGATATGAAATATAAAGGGAGATGACTCAAATATTATGTTTTGACAGTGTAAATGATTTATACCTATAGTGGACATTAAAAGTCTGATATAAAAGATGAAAATTGAAATCTGAGTTTAAAATTAATTTCATCAGAGTATGCATCCTGTACTCAAAATATCATTTCTAATGTGTTAAAGATGCATTATGTAAGAGCTAAATCTGCCTATTGCAGGTCTTTGTTTTGGCCCCAAATGTTATATTATTTACACTTTTATTAACATGACAAGCCTATAATCACCTCTTTAGGGATTTGAATGGTTGGGATTTAAATGGATTAGAATGCCCGTCAACAATAAAATAGATAATTGAGACTTCATAATTAACAATCGATGCTACAGCTTCCCACACTGATAACTTTGCTCAGAAGGAAGTAATTTGAATGAAATTTTCGATATATTCATTTTTCATATTAATTTTGAAACTACTATAGCAATGGTCACAATCTTACATAATGCATCTTTAACTAATCCATTGTTTAAATGTATAAAGATTCTTTATTTTGTAGATAAGTATTCTCAACATTTGTCACATTAATGGGCAGGGGAACAGCTCTCATTTTAAACAAATATGGACTTGATCCAGCAGTCCTGAATTTCTCTAGTCCAGAGACTTTTTATAGGAACCCTAATGTTTGGATTGAAGGGGTTCCGCTGTATAATACTGTTGTTTATATTTTAACATTGTTTTTTTTACGTGATCATTAGTCTGTATTGAACTATGTTTTCAGGAAAGGTTTATGGCCTGTGGTAATTATTTTCATACAACAGAAATTGCTCAGAAAGTGGCTGAATGGGAAGAAAAGATATTACCTAGGCTAGAAGCAGAGGTATGGCCATCTTTTATTTTGTTTGTGGATTGCATTACTATTTTAATCTGTCATCTGTTAATTGAATAAGCAGATTTTCATGTACAGGTAGATTTCCAAAAAAGAATTTAAGAAGGGAATGTTCTGGAAATAACCGTAAATATCTTATAACAACAAAGGAACAATGTATTCGCAACTGAAAGAGAAAACAATTTCCACCAGTAAACAGAGTTTAAACATGTTTTCTGTGTTGGAATCAGTTACAATTCTACTCATATCACAGTACTAAAATATCGCTCAATTACTATTCTGTCTGCTGTCATTTATAAAGTTCCCAGATACACAATTGTGTAATAACTATGTGAAATTCTCAAATGAGAAGTGATATTGGGTTTTCTACTAAATTTCTAAAGGAAGCGATAGTTGAAGCTAGGTTTTAGAAGTTAGAAAATAACCTTGAAGTGAAAATAAAACCACTGACTAGGAGAGTCACAAGCACAGTGATACAGTGGGGAGAGGGGCACGGCTATGCAGACTGTAGAGGCCTACTGGTGAAGCTATGAAAATAATTTTCATTTTTGATACAGCTGCATTGAAATGTGGTCATATATTGATGCCTGTAGTTCGTCGTCCACAATTGCTTATGAACACTCTAGAAGCTAAATGTTACACACATTGTTTCAGTGTTTCCTGCTCATTGTATACACCACTGGCTATGTGAACTCAATGAGAAGTGACATCGGTTTACCTTAACTTGGAGGTGGGGGCGGGCTCGTCAGCTGGATTGTTTAACACATGCACATTAGATCAAAAGGTCTGTCATTGAGTCAAGTGGTGTGGTTACGATTCCCCGCTTGTACGTGACAAGGAGTAGGGTCGTCTGACCAGCCTAGTTGGTTTCCTCCCACTGCTAAAGACCCCTATGTGCAATTGCATTACTGAAATATAGTTGAACCATATGTTAGTCCTGAAAGGACCTAGCTAGTGTCAAGTGGATGTTAAACCTCATTTTTATCTCTCCTTTTATCTAAACATGTACATATTTTCAGGAACATCGTCCAGCCTTTGATATTCATCAATATGGTAGCCAGATATTGGACGAATTAACTGTTAAAACAAGAGTTAAATTTGCTCACATTGCTGCTGGAAAACCTGATCATGAAATCTGTCGTTTATTCTCATCACTTTTACAATTGGTAAGTAAAATCCTATTATAATGGGAGATAATCAGTCTTTAGGTTATTGTGGAGCCCTAGCAGTTTCTTTAGTCACTTTTTTGTGCAAATTGCGAAAAGCTTACAATTTAACGCCCCCAATATAAGCAGGTCAATTAAATTGAATCACATCCTCGAGAATGCAATTCGGTTCCAACCTAACGATTAAGTGATTGTAAAAATTTGAGCTGTTAAATTTAATGAATTTCTAAGGCACAACCATCTGAAAAGTTATCAAACAGTTAAATATCATGTGACCAAAAGTGTTCATAAAGTATTCTTCATGCACAAATATTTCTTTCATGCAGTTCCTTGCTAAAATTTAACCGAAATACAAAGGGAAGAAAAGAATCAGTCATATGCATTTCCTGTTTCACAATATTGTATAATAGTTTCATGCCTACAATTATTGTTCTTATTATCGGCGGGAATTGAGGTCATCTAGGTTAAACATATATTATGCAAGAGCTAAATTGCCTATCGCAGGTCTTTCTTTAGGCCTGGAATGTTGTATAAATTATTAATAAGAAATTAATTATGTTATCCAGACCGTAATCAACTCTTGATGCCATCGCTAGCCTGTGATATTTAGCGGATTGGAATACATTTTATGAAGGATGATTAAACATAAAAATGGATAATTGAGACTTCGTTTTTTATCGTACTGACTTAAGTAACTGTAACGATGTTCGAGGCTAGTCTAAAATTCAAAAGTTAATATCTTGGTTCATTGTGGAGCAATTTGACTGAAATTTTCAGCATATTGTATTTACATTATCTATTTTGTAAATATTATAACAAGAACTGTCAACTTTTTATCTAATCTCCCATAATGCCCCTTTATGGTTAAAGTACATAAAATAGGATGCCATTTCTTCTCAATGATGGGAAAATTGTATTTGTTGTTATATAGGAGATTTTACGTTGGCTTCCACCTAGATGATATTGCATTGTTCGGGTTATCTTATTTATAGAATACAATGTATTGTAAGGCTAGAGCCATTATATATTGATGCCCTGTCCAAATGTACATGTAGTAATAATTTATATATATATATATATCGAACAGAGCACCACATCAACCGGTTGAGTGCATGTTAAACCCCATTCCTCTGTTTCTCTCAACCTGTAGTAAGAAAAAAAATCTATTAGTGCCTAAATCTATTATGCTATAGATATTAATTTGGGTTTATTAAAGGAGCATTATGGGAGATTAGATAAAGAACGCAGTTCTCACTATAATAGTTAAACAATAGATAATGTAAAGCGAATTGAAAACAAGTATGGCGATTATTTAGGGCTTTAACTTTTTTTAATTTAATTTCTGTAGTTTTGTTATTGGAGTTCAGCTTTAAGTGTATAAATAAAAACACACAAATTGACAAATTAAAGATATATTAAGAGCTAACTATTGCAGGTCTTTCTTTTGACAAAAATCCAATCTCTAGATCATCAGATGGCTCCAATTTTAAGTAGATTAGGACGCCTCAGCCATTAAATGATTTAATTTAAAAATTGAGAAACAATACTAAGTCTCGAAATAACAAGTACCATTATTAAGGAAAATAAACCTTCAATGCTGACATCTTATCAAAACTACAAACAGTGATAACTTTGCTTGGGATAATGTAATTTGAATGAAATTTTCAATTTATTCATTTTGCATTATCTGTTTTAATTCTTATATAATGCATCTTTCATGTCAGGCTAGAGGAATTGTGCCTGACAAAGCATGAATTCATGCCTGACACTGTTAGTGGCAGGTGGTATATTTCCAGGCTTGCTCAGTTGGTCATTTTACCCACTAGTTGAAATTAACCACAGCAAATTTGGTAAAACCCACAATTTTATACGCCCACATTTTCATGTGGACATATATTGTCGTCGCCCCTGTCCGTATGTCCGTCCACAATTGTTTGTGAACACTCTACAGGTCACAATTTTTATCTGATTTCAATGAAACATGAATTATAGGTTTATCACCCTAAGATCTCGGTTCTTTTCGATATTGGCATGTAACTTTATGGATTATGACCCCCGATTGTAGGAAAAATCATGTTTTTAACGTGTGAACACTGTAGAGGTCACAATTTTTATCTGATTTGGTTTAAACTTGAAATGTATGTTTATAACCCACAGATCTCAGTTCCTTTTGATATTCACGCATATCGGACCATAACTTCCTGAATTGTACGAAAAATCACATTTTTAGATTGTTGACCCTATAGAAGTCACAATTTTTATCCAATTTAAATGCCTGTTTATAACCCAAATATCTTGGTTCCTTTCCATTTTCGTACATAACTTCCTGAATTATGGCCCCTAAGTGGACGAAAAATCATGTTTTTAGCTTGTGGTCCCTCTAGAGGTCACAATTATTATCCGATTTAAAAAAAAGTTTTAATTTTTCACTGTTACACCGTAATGTTTGTTGAGTTCGAATTTCGTGAAAATCAGGCCAAAGCTGCCGGACAAAATGGCCGCCCCTCATACGTAAATAGTGTAAACATCTGGTAAATCTAGGTTGTGGCCCCTCTAGAGGTCACAATTTTGATCCGATTTCGATGAAACTTGAAATACATGTTTATAACCCAAAGATATTGGTTCCTTTCAATATATTCGTGCATATCGGATCGTAACTTCCTGAATTATGGCCTCTGATTGTACCAAAAATCATGTTTTTTATTTTGTGGTCCCTCTAGAGGTCACAATTATTTTTCGATTTAAAAAAAAGTTTTAATTTTTCACCGTTACACCGTAATGTTTGTTGAGTTCGAATTTCGTGAAAATCAGGCCAAAGCTGCCTGACAAAATGGCCGCCCCTCATACGTAAATAGTGTAAACATCTGGTAAATCTAGGTTGTGGCCCCTCTAGAGGTCACAATTTTGATCCAATTTCGATGAAACTTGAAATACATGTTTATAACCCAAAGATATTGGTTCCTTTCAATATATTCGTGCATATCGGATCGTAAATTCCTGAATTATGGCCCTTGATTGAACACAATTTTAGCTTGTGGTCCCTGTAGAGGTCACAATTTTTATCCGATTTAAAAAAAAAAGGATGAATTGTGTAGAAGTGTGTAATACAAAGGTTGTGGACCATCTAGAGGTCACAAGTTTTATCCAAGTTTGATACGAAGGTTGTGGATCCTCTAGAGGTCACAATTTTTATCTGATTTTGATGAAACTTAAAACATATCTTTATATCCCAAAGATCTCAGTCACTTTTGATATTTGCACATTTCAGGCCATAACTTTCTGGATTATTGCTCCTGATTATACATAAAATCGCATTTGTTTTTAGCTTGTTCTCTATCCATCTCTTGCAAAATGTGGGCGTATCCTGCCTGGCAGCCGCTGGTAAAATTTTCCAGAGCATGCAATGCATACAGCAAACAAAAACATATTTTTATACGCCCACATCGAAATGTGGTCATTTATTGTTGTGACCCCTGTCCGTCGGTAGCTCTAGAGGCTTAGGTTAATAATTACTGGCATTCTTGTTGTCGCTCTGGACTCTAAAGTTAATATTCGATTGACTTTAGATTTATACACAGTGTTTAAGGTCATGAGACAAAGAATGCTATTGATTTTCAATGATTTCTGATAATTACTGCCAGAGTTATGGCCCTTAATCACTTTCAAATATCTTGTGGATTTTCTAGAGGCTAAAGTCAATTTCCAGTTGTCTTAAAATTTATACACAGTGTTTAAAGTCATGAGACAAAGAATCATATTGATTTTCAATGATTTCTGATAATTACTGCCTGAGTTAACACAATGTTAAAGGTCATATGAGAAGATTGACTTTATATTTATACAGGGTTAACAGTCATGAGACGAAGCCTATCTATTTTCAACGATTTCGAACAAAAGAAAAAATATGCGACAACCCTTGTTGACTCCCTGGACGACTTAGCTGCTGTGGGCATATGTTTTGTTACCTGGCAACCCGGAAAACATGCAGTGAAAAAAAATCATATATAAATTTGAGACTTTTGTTGATGTTTGAGTTAAAAAAAATTTGTTTTGTATGTGAACAGATGTCTCTATGTAAAATCTGATGCAATATTATTTTATCAATATCATGATGACCTAAATCTATATCTACAGATCAAATTAGATATAATAATCTAAAGTGGTATTAATATTTGGAATGGAAAATAAAAAGGAATAATTAATTTAATGCACAATATCATATTAAAAATACCCCCCAACTCATGTATCATAATGGACTACTTTGAGTGAAGTATTTGCATATTTTGAGACACCATGAAAACCACTATAAAATATGTGCATCTTATCTTAATATATTGTTAGATCTGTTTCATATTTTGCACACAACTGTTAAAAACCCATTTAATAAAACATTTGTTTTCACCAATTGTTGACGAGAGTGATATTTATGTAATACCTTTTAAGGGTGTTGCCATGTCAAACCTATGATAACTTTGCAATTAATTTTATATTATTTTTCAAACTCTGCTCCACATAAATTTGGTATGATCTTTAAATAGACATCTGAAGCTGCGATTCAAGTCATAGTTTGGGCACATATCTCTTGTGGTTTTAAATTTTAAAGATATTAAATTTTGAAATCGGCTTAAAAATGATAAATTTTTGTCATAAATCTAAAAAGTTCTCAGACTTGCCTGATCCGAATTAAATAATTTTTGGCATGCAAATAGCTAAGCTAGTGCTTAATAAAATTACAATAGTGTTTTTTGATGGTGCCAACAATAATACCAAAATTACAGAAAATCAAAATATTTCATAGGTTGTTATGTAAACATTGAATAAAATCTTATTTCATATAAACGTTGAATAAAATCTATTTCATATAATCACAATTCGTCCCAAAGAAATATGTTCTTTCGAATGTAAGCTTCAATTTGACGCCAAGTTTGTTCAAATCGGTTGAGTAGAACTTGGATTTTTTCATCGTTTCCCTTGGTTTACAAAAAAGGTCCTTTTGAATC